CCCTTCTTTCCCTGCCCTTCCCTTCCCACCTCGTCACCAACCCTCCTAAAGCACAGGCGCCATGATTTCATCACGACATGGATGTTCCCCTCATGCCACCGACACCACAATCCTTTTCCCCACAGCCTCAGATGCTGCTTGCTGATCAGGGTGCTTACGTCTGGGCCGTTAATCATCTATCCATCCATTCACACCCTCCTTCCCACTCCAAAATTTACTTCTGGATCATTTTTCCCCCCTACGAAGGATCGGCTATTACGGCTTCTTCTCCAGGCCTCCTACTTTTGTAGCCCGAGGAATTAACGCTCCTTGACGTGCTGCCTGACGTCACGTCACACCTTCGCAACCTTCCAGGCCCATCACCGGCCCCTTCGGTTCCCAACTGGAGGTCTAGTCTAGTCTTATCTGTCTACTTTGGTTTGACCGGTGCTTAGGACAACACAGCTCGACTGCAACTATTTTTGGGATCGTGTTTTTTATTGCTTTTGTAGACAAGAGGACGCCACCCCACATACAACTCGGCCTCCTCCTCCGTGTCAATCAACTAATCTCAAAACGAGCGCAGTGAAACACACGCATACACTCACACACACACATACACACGCGCATGGCTCATCACAGACAGGGGGAGAGGGGAGGTGGAAGAGGAGGCACACCGCATTACGTTCATGGAAACCAAGATGGAGACAAGCGTGGTCAGAGACTTCGTACGGGTATTCGCGTGGACTGCCCACCGGAAGAGCGACCCTGGCGCCGCCGACAGGGTGCGTAGGTACATCACCGCACCCTCTGTCCTGGCCCTTTCCCCTCCCGGCTCAGAGCCCACTCACTGCCTTTCAACGTCATGAGTATATCGAAGAAGATGGTATCCGTACATCGCGGAAGACTTCGGCAGGCATAAGCTAAACGGCATAGCAGGGAAGCGACGGCAGCCAAGCAGACTAGGGAAAAAAAAAAAAAAAAAAAAAAAAAAAAGAAAGCAAGAAAAAGCGGCAACGAAAGAAACAAGAAAAAGAAAACATGAAACGGAATACGTAGGCAGAAAGAAAAAAAAAAGTGATGAGAAGAAACAGGGGTAAAAATAGAACAGCACAGCAAGACGATCGCTAGTAATGCATAGAATCCTTATCTAACCACAATCAGAGACGGAACTAGGAGAGCACGATGCCCCGGCGACACTAGACCTCAACAAGAAAGGAAAGGCACAGGCTATGAGGCAATGGGAGGTCGTCATATTGGGATCAACAACAAATTTGCCGCTTTTCCATGAGGCAAACAAGAAAAAAGAAAAAGAAGAAAACGGCGAACAAAGTGAACACGAAGCGAAGGCGAAAAATTGAAGAAAAACAATAATGAGTATGAAACTGAAACAAAGGCGGACTAATAGGGAAAGATAAGGCGTTAGACCAAGGCGGAAGGGGGGAAGTAAACATAGCATCAAAAAATAAAAAATAAAAAAATAAGAATAAACACTGAAGAAATTGAATTTTTGAAACCGAAGAAAAAGGCAGAGAGAAAGTCATAGCTTAGGCCAGGCTATACCCACAGGCCTCGGTTCACTGAGAGCCGTAGTAGACACTGCCTTGAGACTGAGGATAGTAGTACGTTGTACCAGGGGGCGTCATCATGCCGCCCATGCCCATGACACCGCCGGCCCCGGGCGCATTCGGCATCCCATAGGAGGGGTTTTGATACATCTGGTTAGCATCGTAGAAATACACCGTACCACCTGCTTCGTGTGCCACTGTGCCCGGTTGAGCCGGTTGCTCACCCGACGTGTGCGCACCGGGCACCATATACGGCACCTGCTGCCCCGGGGGGAAGGGAGGCACAGAGGTGCCGGGCCCCACTGCTGCATTGTACGGGGGGAACTCGGTCCCGGTGACAGAATAGTACATGGCGCCAGGTGGGTAAGAATTGGGATAGAATGCTTGTGGCTGTTGATAGCCGTATGGCTGGAAGGGTTGGGCATGGATTGCACGCTCGGGTATGTGGGATAAGGGTGTCACCGACGAGTGAGCCGAAGCAGCATAGCCGGGCGCATCTGAGCCATAGACGGGCCCAGTTCCAGGCATTGGGACCTGATGATGGAATGGCTGCTCCTGCTGCGGCTGAGGAGGATTGAATGGAAAGCTTGCTGGGGTCTCAATGTCGGCAACAGAGACGGCCTTTTGGGGACGAGGTTGGTGCATCGGGATGGGCGCCGGACGGCTCTCCCGGAACACTGGAGGTTGAGGCTGTGGTTGAAGAGGAGGAACTGCTGATGGAGGGCCGGGTGGTGGGGGTGGTAGTCCGGCTGTTGGTCTTGGAGGTGGAGGTAAACGGACAACGGGCTTACCGTTGTCTGTGGCCACGATCGTCTGCCTGGAGAGGACCGAGGCGGCCGGCGAGTGGTATCCTTCTTGGGAGGGCGCCTTGCCGAAAGACGACCTCCTACTGATGCTAACGCTTGGAGTGTATGTGGAACCTGCATAGATACTAGGCCGACGTCCTGGGAAGAATCCGCTCCGACGCCCACGGAAGGCCTGTTGATTAGGCCGGAGCGCCCGCGGGATGAAGATGAAAGATCGCTCTGTCGCGGGGAAGATATATCGCGCAGGCTGCCCGGGAAGCGAGATTCGGACGGGCTTATCGCGGCGCAGAGGAGGACGGTGTTGTGGTAAACGGGTGTGTTGCTTCTTTGGAACATTAGGGTATGAGATAGGCTGAGCCATGCCCGGTAAATAGACCACGACAGGTACGTTCCCTATCATTGTAGTACTCGAGAACGACCTATTGGGCGGGGATGATCGAGGAGCTGTAGGGACTGGCTTCGGGGGATAGGTTGGGACAGTCGCAGGCACCGCAGGCACTTTCGAGACGGGTGCATCATCTCCAGCAACAGTATCATGCAGATCGTGCGTCCACTTGTTTTCACTGGCATCTGATTTGACCTGGTTCCTGCAAGCTGTTAGCGTGGATGTTCGGATTGCTTCACCAGTGAAAGAGCTAGAGGGTTGGTTCAAGCGTACTTGCGCACATTGCCGTCCACGATGAGACCGTATGGTCTCGACTTGGACTTGGCAAATGGTTTGTGACCGTTGGCCGCATTATCGGTCGAACGTTTGTCGTGAAGGAAGAAGCTTCCTCGGGTGGGGACGAACGCTGGGTTCTCTTCCTTTTCCTTTGTATACTTCTCATTGTCACGACGCCTCCTCTCCGTCAGGCTGTCTTGTTTTGGCTCTGCCGGAGGCGCCGACGGAGTTCTCCCAGTCTGTTGGCCAAGCTCCCCCTTCAGATCATCAAAGTGGATTTCGGCCACCCCAGTCGTCTTGTCCGACAGACTCATCCCGTTCATCATCGCTTCTGTATCTGACATGACCGTTCCCGTGTGGCGTTTCCCGGGCGAGGTAGAATGGCGGCGCCCGAGCTTCTGGCTTCCTGCGGGCGTACGACCGTTGAGGTGGGGAAGGTGAGTATTGCCCGCATCCCGGGTCACAGACGCCTCGTCATCACTCTCATCACTGCCCTCGCCATCGGCATCCTCCTCGTCGGGATGGCTGATAATGGACCCTTCGCTTAGGGAGTCGTCCTCCAATTCTCCATCTAGTGAGCCCTCATCTTCGCCCTCTTCGTCTCTTCTTCGGCGGCGACTAGCACCGATATTGTGTCGTCGTGGAGCCATGGAAAAAGGAATGAAATTAAGAAGCAGAAGGTCACGGTAAAGGTCGGAATCGAGGTAAGCTGGGGTGGATCGGGGTGGTGGGAAAGGGCGTCAAAGTGCACCGACCAGTAGCGGCGAGAGCGGCGGGTTGCAAGACAGAGGATGGGTAGAGAAGTAAGGTAGCTAGTAGGTCTAGATAGGAAGAAGCTCGCAAGCAACACGTTCCCGAGAACCGAATAGACAAAGGTAGAAGAATAGAGAGAAAAGCACGAGGACCAGAGCAAGAGGGTGCACCTCAGGACTGAGGGCAGGGAGTGTTGAACGGATGGACGAACTGGGGAGATTTGGTGGTTTTGAGCATGAGCCATGACATGCTCTTTCGATGTCAACCGCCTCAATCCGGTTAGCGTCCTCCCCAAACCACTTCAGGGATTCTAGAACTGCGGTTTATCTACTTTTAGTTGTTAACGCCAGCTGATCGTCCATCAGAGCTCCTCCATTTTGCTTTTGAGAACTCCATATGACACTTGATTTTCAGCAAACATGGTCACCCTCCGACATTATACTTTTCAACCAAACAGACTCCCGGTTCCCAGTCAAGGTCAGGGTATGTCGACATCCTGAGCATTACTACCATTGACGCCCGTTAACTCTGTCCGTCCACTCACGTTGCCTCGTTCTGTTTACCCTGACTAAGCCGCCTGGCAGCATCGGCCTTAGTGTACCTGTACCCATTTTGGCGCAATAGGCAGGGACATGGTTCATGTACCAGTACATCGCAGAGTTCTACTAGCAGTAACTGACCGGTCTATGCTACCCACGTCGGGGCCTTATGTGATACGCGGCGCCAGGGCTTACAATGCGGACTGGAGGAAATGGCTAATCAGATCGTTGGTTACAATAATGCTTCATGGCATACATATATTGTATACAAAGAATTCGGTTGGGTATCAAGGTACTGAGGACTTGAATCCTCAATGCTTCTATAGCGCCGTCCACGGCCGTCTTGATCCTCGACCGACGGGGCATGAAGTCCATGCAAGGATGGAACAACTCATGTCACAACTCACTATGACAACGATCTCACATCAACAAGATTACAGAGCCGGGCATTGGGGGGCTCCGACTTTGCACCCAGTAAGGAGATCTGGTTTGGTTCTGTATGGGCGATGGCTTCGTCTGTTCTTCCGAAATGCGCACAGGTTGTTCAAGGCGCGCGAACCCTCCTTAATCAAAGGTGATCTTCTTTCCTTGAGCTTCAACAATGGCTCCACTGAGCTTCTGAACAGTATCTTGATCGTATCTGGTATAATCCGGCTTTCCTTGCCTAGCCTTGCCCGGTCGCGACTGGCGAGACTGCTCACCCGCCGAGTTGTTCTCTGCAGGCTCAACCTCGCTGATGTCTGAGGTATTGTTCTTCTTGCCTTCGCCGTCCTTACCGAATCGCTTCTTATAGCGCGTCGTGGCATCTTCGGCAAATTCCATGCGCATCCGCCTACCGAGCAGGTTGTTCACCCACACTCTCTTCTGTCGCGGCTTCTTGGACTTTTTGCGGCTTTCGGTGTCGGACTCTTCATCCTCTTCATCATCCTCCTTAACCAGCAAGTAGCCCTTCACCGCTGCTTCGGCTGCTGCAAGATCCTCAAACACTACCCAAGCATAACCCTTGCATTTGCCGGAGTCTTGGAATGTTGCCACATGTACGTTTGCGATAGTCCCACATTGGGAGAAGTGCTCTTCGATGAGCTCCTTCGTAGCGTCGAAGCCGAGGTTGCCGACAAATATCCGCTTTGACGGGGGATTTCCAGATGCTGCCCCCGAATTGGCGTTCTGACCCTCTCCTTGAGGCTTCTCTGGCCTACCAGAGAAGTTCTTTGCATCTTTGATGAGCACACGACGTCCGGTGAGAAGCTGTTCACTGAGGCCCATTGCCTCCTGGCAGGCCTTCTGCGTGGAGAAATCGACGTAAGCGAATCCTTTGTTCTGGGCTTTTCCATGCTTATCACCAGACTTGGGCATGTGAATTCTCGTGATGGTCGTATCTGTAAAGGAGCAGTTGGTCGTAAAGAACTTGCGCACGTCATCTTTCGTCGCGAAGAATGGCAGGTTTCCGATCCAGATACCAAAATCGGAGCGCTTCTGAGTGGCAGCTTTGTCATTGTCTACAGGGGTCTCCTCTGTTTTCTTCTCTGTAGTGGTATCCGAGGGGCCTTCTGCAGCCTTCTTCTTGAGCTTTCGCAACGCCTTCTTTGAGGGAGGCTCGGGGGCAGAAACGTCAATCTCGATCTCGGGGACATCTGGAAGCTTGCGCTTCTTGTGGTTTTCCTCACCTACGCCAGCCATGGTGTAGTACGCGAAGGAATAAAGAATAAAAACTATACTTCACAGAGATAGAGGAATAAAGCCAATGGGAGGGAAAGAGAACCTTCACTTGGAAGAGAAGTCTCAGCGGCAATCACTGATAGCGGAGGGAAACTTTTTTTTACGGCGGGCAGAAACTCTCCGCCTCAACACCAGATCCTCCAGATCGGCGGACCGCTTAAACGTGACCGGCCCAAACACGGCCATCTCGAGCCTCACTCAGCCTTCGCTTCTGTCCGCCCCTTTCACCCGTTCACGACTCTGCAACTTGAAGCGCCATCCAGGTTTCTCGTCGTTTACTTTGCTCGTTTGTCACGATGTCGCATACCATTGATGATACTCATTCCGTGACTGAAAGTTTACCGGATGCCCCCGGGGGCGCCCCTACGAAGCAGTCCTACCGATCATTCAAGTGAGTGATCCCCTGAAAGCCTGGGGCGGCGCGTTGCTAATTCGACCGATCTACCATCCAGGAAGAAGTTTGCGAAGCTTAAGGTCAAGTTTGAGCTTCAGATGCGAGAGAGCGAGTCCCTCATCCGCGAAGGGTTGCGTATCGAGGATCTGTCCAAGAGGATTCAGGCACAGAATGAGTATGTTGCGCGCCCAACGTCTATGACTTCTCGGTCGCTTACAATTGATCAACCCACAGTCAGCTCCTAGAAGTCCTGCTAGAGTTCAACGATAGTCTCCATGTGTCTCCAAGTATGCGGTACGATCTGAGCGCGCCGGAAGATGAATCCTTCTTACCACCACCCGAGCGAGACATTCCGAAATCGTACAATGACCCTGTCGTAGCGAGCTCTGTTCTACAAGAAGCCAAGGCCAGACTGGCTGCTGGACGTTTGTCCAGCGATGCTTATCGTGAGGTGGAGGATGATGTTAAGCGCGGTCAGGCTTTTGCACCGCGTATGCAGTACAGCACTCTGTCGACATTCCCCCATTCTGCGCCTTTGCAGCCAGACAATCCCGACGACTGGAATCCCGCGCAAGAACTTGGATTTCTTACTCCCGAATATGAGACCGAATACTGCCTGGCTCTAGATGCTAAACTGGGCGACGACGAGGCTCTGGAGCAGCTCGAGTGCGTTCCTAAGAAGCCATCACTAGCGGAACGCGAGAGAGAGGCCGCTCTTCGGAGCCATGTCTCTGTACACAATTGGTTGCGCCAGAACCAACCCCAAATATTCTTGCAGGATAACGAGAACGCCTCGGAAAAGTCCGGCTCTCGACCCTCCAATCTACGCACTTCTAAGAGGGCGCCGGCTCAATCACGCAAAGAGGAGGATGTGTATGATGATGACAGTATCCTGGAAACTGCGTCAACCTCTGGAGGTACGAGAGGCAAGCGCAAGCGCGATGAAGATACCGGATATCGACCCAAGGGCGGTAGCAGTCGCTCAAACCGGAAGAAGAAGGATGAGGAAAATGCGACCCCCAAACGGCCGTCGAAGCGGTCTTCGGGCGTCGGTGCCTAAGATTGGCCATCGATAATACCGGATCTTTTCCTTGTGTATCAATACAGACTTTCCTTTCACACTCTTTCTATCTTTTTTTGCCATTCATGTTTGCAATTCCTATCAGACCACGGCGGATAGTGATGTCTTTCCAATACGGGAGCGGACAAGCATGCTACACTTTGAAGGTGTTTCCTAAATGGCTTTCTCCAATTTGCACTTATAAATTTCCTATATTCACGTATTTATCTGCTTCCTTGCTGTACTATGTGTCGGAGCGGCGGCGTCACCACTCACTCCCGCCTATGCTGCCATTATGCTTTGATATGCTTCAACAATAGTTACTTGAACACGATAGCTAGAAGTCGTGAATCATAGGTGAAAGCGGTCATATCATACCCAATAAATATACAAAACAGACTAGTAGGAGTATAACAATGCTACTAAGTTAGTGTTGCTCTTCTCCCGGATTGGGAATGCGGCTTCACGTGCGTCTCCACCAGCGGTTTGCCTGGTTTGCTTGGCATGCCGAAAGTCTTGTCCGACTGCAGCTCCAATACTCCGATTTTCACCAAACGCCCTCAATCGGGACGCAATAGAATCGACTGCTCGGCCACTAATATTCCCCAGAGCGGCAAACAGACCTCTACATTATGGCCATTACTATTCTCCCTCCGGTTGTGGAGGATGTCGACGTTCCCTACTCCGACTCGGAGGACGATGCCATGTCCGTGGATTCAGATGGAGGAGTAGATCTCGCAGCGGGAGATGCCACAAGACCTAACAAGCGTCCTCGCTTAGTGGAAGGAACAAATATTGGCGCAGGAGTCCTCACACCGGGTGAGATCGTAACAGATGACCCGCAATGGATGAGGTTGGTTTGGCCCAACTGCTATATTAGCTCAACGCGCAATTGATTGACACTTGACCGCAGAGGACACGGCACATACACTAACCCACTATCTACCTCCATCATTGCTACCGTCGCCGGTACAGTTCAGAAGACCAACAAATTGCTCTCCGTCCAGCCCCTTCGGGCTCGTTATACGCCTGAGATCGGTGACCTGGTGGTGGGGCGTATTGTCGAGGTGCAGTCTCGGCGATGGAAGGTTGACGTCGCTGCTCCCCTTCTCGCACAGCTTCCTCTCTCCGCTATCAACTTGCCCGGTGGTATCCTGCGTCGACGAACGAGCGCCGATGAACTACAAATCCGAACCTTCTTCAGCGAGGGTGACCTCGTCGTTGCTGAAGTCCAGACGGTACATTCCGACGGAGGCGCATCGTTGCACACCCGGTCGCTGAAGTATGGTAAATTGAGGAACGGCGTGTTCCTTGCGGTGACGGGGACAGGTGGCAGTGGTGCGTCTAGCTCGTCAGTCAAAGGTACTTCTGGGGCGAGTGCTACGGGCGCGGGAGCCGGAGGTGCAGCGGGTGCTGGTGGAGTGGTTCGGTCGCGCAGACAGGTCTGGACGATCAATACAGCCAATGGGGGTGGGGATGTAGATGTGATTTTGGGAGTTAATGGGTACATTTGGATTTCGAAGCACGCCGACGGAGCGGCTGCTGCATCGTCGACGACGGAAAACGTGTCAATCACGCGCATGGAGGAGATGGTGTCGAGCTCCATCTACTCGAGTCAGAACGATGATATTCCGCCACAGACGCGTCGGGAGATCGCCCGGTTGGCGCAGTGCATTCGGGTGCTTGTCAACGGAGGAGTCCGGGTGGACGAGGAGACGGTGATGGGAGCCTATGAAGCCAGCTTACAGGTGGATCTAGAAGTGGGCGATGAGGAAGATGATGAAGATCGGGGCAAGGAGGGACGAGAATATCTGGAGGGCGACAAGGCTCGCCGAATTCTAGATTTGGTGCTACAACAACTATAGGTTTGGATGGCATTTTCGAACCTTTCGATAGTAATTCTCGTGAGAATAGATACCCCGGCAATGGACAAACATTCCTGCCTCAGCAATGGTGTGTACTACGTAGAGTTCCATTGGAACAGCTAATAAATTAGCATCTTCTTCTGTTGTCCTCCATCTTGTGATGCCTTCAACTTTTGCCTTTTTGGGGCTGATAAGCAAGACCCCGCATCACGTGGCGATAACAAGGCTGATTATTGGCAGATCCAAATGAGACATCATCAGCAGAATAACAGGAGAGGTATGCAAGTAAAGTAGATCAGAAGATAAGAAACTAAGAGTAACCAACCAAGCAGAAGAGTAACACAAAACAACTCGGGGATCCGAGCGAGGGTGGCGTTGATCAGGAGGAGGGGGCGTGACCAGTTGGCTGCCGCACAAATACATTCTGATGTTATTCTTGTTTCTTTCACTCTTTCTTTCTTCTTACCTTCAACCCAATACTCTTCATCGACCCATTGGGGATTTCCATCAACACCCTTGTTCTGTTCCAGCCTTACCATGTCCTTCGTCTCAGAATCACTCTTTCTACTGTCTACCATCACGTTTACCATACCCTCAGTATAGCCGCCCGGGTTGTGCCGGTTGCACTTGGTGTTGCCTTGCTTCTACAAGTTATACTTGTTTCTACATTCCGGTTTCCCTCTGGCTTATTCATAGTAAATTCTCGGATACATTATCCCGCATTCTCCCCCGTGAAAATTCTTCCTGCACTTAGCAATCTCCTCTTTGCAATCACCTCTCAGCTGGTCGACATTGGGCGTATCCATCATGCCAGACCTGCGCCGTCAAGTATTGGAGAGTGGCAAAACCATCTCTCGCAAAGCTGCTTCCCGCGAAGGCTCTCGACGTACTTCGCGCGCCAACTCTACCCAGAATTCCCGCCATTCCTCTCAGAATCAAAGTCGACATGCCTCAGACGAGGAAGACCTTGACAGTCTAAGCGATGACACGGCCATGAGGTGAGCATTCCATGATCACTGCTTTCTCCCCCTCCAATTTATTTTTCTCTTTGGTTTCCCCCCAAACACGGAATGATGTCATCGTCGTCCGTTCCCTCTGTGTGCTCCGTTACTAATGCGTGTTTCACGACCCAGCATTGGCTCGTTGGACGATCTAACCGATAACCCCGATCTGGACAACCATGACTGGGTTGAGGAGCTTGGGGACGTCATCGAAGATATTCTGGACCGCAAACGCAGCAGCAATTTGAGTCGCGAAGAGGCTTACGCTGCGTTTTGCCGACTAGCCAAATATCACTATGTCGAGGAACAAATTCGCGGTCGCGTTCTGGACTTGGTAGCGGCATTCAACCGCAGTATCAAGTTCGAGACCAGTGTGCGCGAAACCACTCTGGCGCTCCGTGCTGTCGAGCTCCTCGCCATTTCAGCCTACGATAATACCATCTACGAACATGTCGAGCCCTTGTTGACTCGCACCGTGCGAGATTCAACCTCTAACACGGTCAAGGCAGCAGCGATCCACTGTCTGGGCGTCTGCACCATCCATGCAGGCGCTAGCGAAGATGGGATTCTCGACCAGATGACGTTTTTCTTGGACATTGCTGCCTCGGACGGGCAGTCGATCGGTGCTGGGGACGACGCAGCCAGCGTCGTTGCTGCTCTGCAAGAATGGGGCGTGCTTGCGACCTATATCGACGATCTTGAAGGCGAAAGCGAGGATGCCGTGCAGATCTTCATGGACCAGCTGAACAGTGGCGATTCTGCGGTCCAGATTGCTGCCGGCGAGAACATTGCGCTCTTGTACGAGAAGAGCTATACTCCACAGGAGGACGATGAGGACGACGAGGACGAGGAGGAAGAATCGGAAGAGGAAACCTTCTTGTCCGGAGGTCGCGGCAACGGCCCCAAGTTGATCAAGCGCTACAACGCCTACCACAACACGCACGAGCTCGAGCAGCAACTCCATTCGCTGGCCAAAGTCCACAGCAAACGGATCAGCAAACGCGATAAGAAGAGTCTACACAGCAACTTCGCCTCCATCCTTACGACGGTGGAGAATCCCCGTCGGGGACCCATGTACAACACCGCTATCGACCAGGACACCAACCGCCACTACGGCAGCAAGCTGACGGTCAAGATTGGCCGACAGGGCGTGATGAACATCGATCGCTGGTGGAAATGGACGCGGCTGAGCTCGCTTCGACGCACCCTGCAGGGCGGCTTCGCAGCGCACTACTATCAAGGCAACCGCGCCGTGCTGGAAAGCCTTCCGGTGATCATGCGCATGGACACGCCGTCGGACCGAGGGTATGCCAAGCGCACGGCCAAACATCGGGATAGTCGTCGGTGGGCGGTCCACGAGGCCTCGGACGAAGACTAGACATGTGATGAGTTCATCGTTCGTTTTACTGGTTTTTGAGTTTGATTCCCTGTTGCGTTAGATTTATGGCAGCGGTTGTTTTGATGTTTTCCTATCTTTGTGCAGTTGTCTTCGATTCCCGTTTCTAGAACACACACTCGCCGCTGCTAGCAGTGTGATTAGAAACGAACAAAAGCATACATACATCCATACATACTTGACAATAACTATGTAAGGGAAATTTTTCAGTTATTTCTATATGCTCTTTCAATATAAGTAGTGTATATATAAGTCTTGACTATGTTACACATTACATACACTACTATCTCTGTATGATCTCAATCCATACCGTCATCAATAGTAACACCCGATTTCAATACTCGAACCACATCTCATAAGTAAACATCTGAATTAGAATAATAGTAATTGAGCTTATTTTACTTCATGCTTTGAATGAGACAGTGAGTGGATAAATCATAAATTGATAAATGTACACCGAGAGTGTAATAAGTTGAGTAGAAATCCACTACCTCCCTCCTTCCCTATCCTCTATAGTATACCACTCACCAACACACTCCCGCTATACCTAACTAATACCTGTCTAGTAATAATCCCACCCCATATGAGATAAATCCCGCAATATAAAGACCCTAGCAGATTACTTCGTAAAAACCGGCACCACGCCCGTCCAGGCGGCCTTACTCCGTTCCTCCCAGTATCCATCCTTCCCAGACTTCAGTCGCCACACGGATGCATCTCCCGATGCGTCATCTACGGGTGTGAACCATCGCGGTGTCCAGGACTCGCCTGCGGCTTCCATCTCGCGACGACGCGCGCGTTGGCCTTCTTCCAACTGGACCTTGACTGCTTCGGCTTGGTCGACGTCGCCGTCTTCGAGGGCGCGCTGGTCCGGACGGAGTCGTGAGTCGGTGACGGGGAGTTTGCCGTCCTCGATAGAGGTGACCTCGTTCAAGGTCGCCGCGAAGGCTGTGAGACCGTAGTGTTTGGGCGCGTTGGGGACCAGGGGTCCGGCACTCCAGATGGTTCCCGAAGGGTTGCCGTTCTTAGTGAGGTCGAGGGAGGAGGTCCAGGTGCCGGTGAGACCGAGGGGCAGGTCACGGCCGGAGGGGTCCGTGGATTTGGTGGTGACTTCTTCGCTGCGGCCGGAGAACATGCCGCCGGCTTTGAAGGTGGTGAGGGAGCGGTGGCCGGTGGTTTCGTTCATCACGACCATTTCGCCGACGGGTTCGACGTATTTCTCGCCGGCGATGATGTTGCGTAGGAACGAGGTGGCCTGGGACCAGCTGAAATGTTCGCCGGTGGTGTGGAGGGTCAGGCGCATCTTGCCTTCGGTGATAATTTCGGCGGATTTACCCCAGAATTTCTGCGTCGGCATGGGGGATTGCGTGAGGCTCCAGTCTTTGCTGTCGGCTTGGTAGGCAAGCTGGACAGGGCGATGCGAAACCTTCTCGGCGATAAACCGGAAGCCAAGGTCTTCACGGACGAGCTCGTAGGTCTCGCCGAGCATGGGGTTGAACGGTTTGCGAATGGCGCGCTCACGGATCCGGTTGCTGGAGATGGGAGAAAGGGCAAATGCGGTCACGTACATGAGGCGTTCAACGGGGTCGGAGGCGCTGGCGGCGCGGTCGAGCAGAGTGGAGTACTCCAGAACTTCGGCGGCGCGCTGGAGCAGCGACAGGGGCTCGTTGGAGGAAACGGGCATGGAGATTTGCGACAGGTCCTTGCCAACGTTCTTACGGAGGAAGCCAATCAGACTGGGCGGCATGACCGTCGGCGCCGTGATGTTGGCACGACGCTTCACGGGACTGAGTGGGAGCGGCGTGAGCGTTTTGGGTCGGCCGGGGAAGAGCGGCGAGAATTGATCGTGTCCAGCAGGCGTCTCGTCAGCCTCATCCTCACTGTCAGAGGGAGCATCGTCGGCCATAGGTTCTTCTTCTGCCTTGGGTTTCGAGTCCCATACGGTGTGGTCGGAGGCGTTGTCGGCCGCTGCCTCGTCCTCGCTGTCGCCCTTGATTGTGAGAAGCGCATTGCCGTCATCTGCATCGAAAAATTCCTGGGACACGTCGGACTCGAAGCTGCGCCGCACCTGCACGGTCGCGCCCGGAGGGTGTCGTCGCTGCTTGCTTTCGGAGATGAGGGTTGAGAACTCGCTGACGACCTGGTCCAGGTCACGCAACACGGCCATGAGATGTTCATGGACCTCCTCCATGGGATCCGGGGGGCTGGCGATGCTGCTGGGCTTGCGATCGCCCGCCAGAGACGCAGTCTCAAAAGCGCCCGGAACGGCCAGCTGCGAAGACATGGAGGCCATGGTGGTGGTGCGCTTGACGCCGGGCTGCGTGGCCGTACTATTCTTGCGCTTCCAGAACGGGCGTTTGGCGTCCCCAGACTCGTCTCCATTCAGATCCGTGGGCGTGCGATGCGGGCTGGGCGAGCGACCGCACGGTTTCTCCGCGACATTGCCGCCCAGGTACTTGGGATCGGTGTCCTTGGCCAGGCGCCGGACAGCATCGCGCGACCCGGATACCTTGCTCACGAGGCTCTCGACTCGTTCCCATTCCCGTTCCTCAACGGCGTTCGGGACGACACGTTGGGAGGGCACGCGTAACAGGGGTTCGGACGGCAGGGTGGTGTCGTCGGTAGCGGTGGCAGGAGTCTTGGAAGACGGGGCGGAGGCCCGCTCCAGCGCCCGCTTCCAAGCGATGAATTCCTGGTCATTGTTGGCGCGAAGGTGCCAGACTTCGGTGCCGGAGTCGATGGAAATCTCGCGCGACTTCTCGTTGCACGCAACCGCGGCTAGCGACAAGGGGATGGACCCGCGAAGCGCGGCAGAGTTGCGATCGTGGTAGTAAGACAAGGTCGACGAGGTGTAGTCGAGGGAGAAGAAGCGACGCGCCCAGCCCTGATGGCGCTTCCGCCGTCGCTTCTGAAGCACGCCCGTATAGGTATTGAGAGAGTCCGGGTCGCTGGCGAGAGGCGGCGGCTGAGCGACGCTGTTGCCCCGTCGGCGGCCAGCCAGGGTCTTTCCGGATTCAGCGGTATCGGAGCGTATGGGATGGCTGGAGGCATGAGGGACGGGGACCGACTGCGGTGGGAGGGCGGTTGGGTAGGTGAGCAGGGCGAGAGTGACGGTTTTGGAGAGTTGCTTGGAGAAGGTATTGTCAAAGACCAGGGCGTAATTCCCGCCTTCATTGGCGGGTACGTCGTAGGTACCGCGGAAGATGCGTTCAGCCTCGCATTTGCCGATCCATTGGATCTGCTTGAGGCCAATTCCTGTCAGCTTCTCAATGACGGAGGCATTGGGTCGCGAGGCCGCAGCGCTAGCGGTCGCTGGCAGGTTCTCGTTGGAATCGGCATTGGGGGAATCGGTGGCTGGTAAGTTGGTGTTGGAGCCCAGAACGGCCGAATGGCCGGGATGTTTGAAGATGCCAAAGTTGATGGACTTCTTGTGCGGTTGGATACTCCAGGAGATGGTGTGGGCGGGCTTGACCGATACCCAGCGGACAAAGTAGGACTGTAGAGAGGGGCAACAGAGGGCAGAAGTTAGTCCAATGCCATCATTCAATCATTAATCCGGCGTGTCATGTATCCATCCCCTCCACCCCCTTGCTTCATTGTCAACATACCTTGCTGTGGATCTCCAGCTCCTCCATGGCCGCCATGGTTGCGCGAAAGGCACTTGTTTATGTGGAGGAACGGGAAAGATGACGACGAGGGGGGGAGCAATTGAGAAGAACGAGGAACGAAGCCAGGCGGGCAATGGGATCTTTTAAGAGTCGGGGGATTGGCGAAGGGAGCTGAAAAGCTGAAACAAAAAGGAGGGAATGATGGATCAGGCTGAGGCTCAGCTGTACGTCAGCCACGAGGCAGAGCAGCAGCAGCAGCAGAAGCAGAAGCAGATCTTACCAGTCATGCAGCAGCCCGGCTCACGTTGGATTGCGGGAACGATCGGATAAGGAGACACGGGCCAAGGAGGGACTGTGGGAAGAAGGATCAAAGAGTGACGACAGATGCGGTAATTTAAAGTAAAGGAGGGGCGGTGGAGGAGGTGGAGGAGGAGGGGATGACGGTAAGAAGTAGTAGTAGTAGTTGTTGTTGTTGTTGAAGTAGTAGAAGTAGAGGAAGAAGGACAAGGAGAAGGAGAATGAGAGATGCGGAGAAGCCGAACACTAAACACACTCACAACTCTCTCCTCTCCAGCCCGGCCGAGGAACAACCAAACAATGTGCTTTTGCAGGGGATGAGCAGCTTGTGCCCGCTTCACATGAAAGACCAAAGACTGAGATCAATAGTAAGTCTTTAGTCCATCTCCGGCTGGGGATAATCTGGTTCCTGGTGGATCCATCCAGTGTCCCTTGACCCTTTTATTCTCTCGTTTTCTGGATTTTCCTCGGAGTTTCACGGGAAAAGAATGCGTCAGGGGCAATCAATACTTGAGATATCTACTTAAGGATATTGAATTCATAGTTGAATAGTAACAGTTGATCCCAATGCAATGCAATCAATTCCATTGTTTAATCCCCCTTCAGTCCCCAACAATTAATCATTTCGAACCCGCAACCAGGAGATGCTACGCGGATGCTAATTCTTCACTCTGCCTTATGATGGAACAAGAGAGAGAGAGAGATAGAGGAAGAATAGAAGACAAGAAAATACACAGGAGAAAAAGACCAAGAATCCCGACCTCATCCAGCAATCAAAAAAAAGAGATAAACGTCCCGAGGAATATTACACACAGTATACAGAATGAAAGAAGAAGGAAAAGAAACCATCACCATCACCGCCTCTTGCCGGCCTGCATGTTGGTGAACAACAGCTTGAAGCCATTGCACAGGGCCCGCATGTCCGGATATGGGTTGCGCTGCAGCTCATATCCTTGAGGGATCACCTTCACCGGCCAGCTGTGCAGCGGCGCCTTCTCACCTGCCTTGAAGCACAGGAAGAAGTAGCCCGCATGTTTGGGATCGATGCAGAAGGCGTAGGCCGACCGCCGGGGGTTGGCCTTGGTGTATGTTTCCAACCAGGAGTCTAGCAAAAGAGAAAAGGTTAGTGATCATTTACAATATGACCAGTCGCAAAGAACAAAGAAGAAGACGAAGGAAAGATGGACTTACAGGTGGCGTCCTTGTTGCCGTCCTGGTACTTCTCATGCAACATCATCTCATCCACCTTCTTGGTCATCGCCTTGACGTGGTTGAAGATCAAATCGTCCAAATCACTGTACGTGTAGCGTCCGCCCACCTTCAGTGTCCGTCCCACGGAGAATTCGTTCTCCTTGTCCAGCTCCAGCACATCGATATGCTGGAAGATGCCGTCGGACACCTTCCACGTTACCGCCAGATGGTCCGGTCCCTTGGACGACGGGCGAATCACCACATCTCCCCGGCTCTGCGACCCCAAGAATTCCTCTGCCTGCGTCGAGTTGAACGGCCGGAACAGCGGGTGCTTGATCACCCGCATCGTCCGTCCGCCGCTCTGGGTCTTCTCCTGCTGCGCTTCCCGGTCCTGCGCCTCCTGCCGGTCGTCCCACTCCCCTTGCAGTCGGTCCGGCGTCCGTAGAACCGGCCGGCTGACCTGCTCCTCCCGCAGCGAGACATTGCACAGGAAGTTCTTGCGGTTCAGGAAGAGCACCTTGGCCGGCAGCGTCTGGTGGATTTGATACAGCGCCCGCACGGGGATATCATACCGGTCGGTCAGCTCCGACTCGGGCACCAGGGCGTCGATTCCACAGTCCAGCTTGCCGTCAATGTGATCGTCCGTGATCCGCTTGATGGAGATGGGCACCACCATGCCCTCCGACAACGTCTCTGCCGTCTCACCAGTGAGCATGGTGAAAATGTCATCCGTGCTGAGGAAGACGAATTGCTTCCGTAGTTCCTCGTACGGCTGTTGCAGCTCCGCCCGGATCGTCTCCAATGTCGCTCGCTTGCGCTGGTTCAGGTTCTTCTCCAGTTGCTCGGCGTACTCCTCCAGAATCAAGTCGTTCACCCGATCTTGTGCCTCCTCGCGGAACAATTTGCGCACAATTGCCCCCGGTCCATTCTCGTCCGTCTCCGCCTTGATATCCTCTTCGTCGAGTTCCAGCGCATCGGCCGCCATCTTGCGCGCAATATCGTAGTCTTCGGGGTGCACACGCGTGTTGTCCAGCGGGTCTGCGTCCGGATCGGCGTTCTCAAAGTCGATGTACAAGAAGCTGGCGCAGTTGTTCCACACCTTCACACCCATGGCCGGATACTGGGCGTTCACACCCAGCAGCTCCGCCCGGTTGTTGACCACGCCGCCGTTCATGTTCACAATCTTGAGCAGGTGTGCCGCCTTTCGGGGTCCCAGACCACAGACGTAAGGCAGGAGATTGGCTGTCGCCGAATCCGTGACGGCTTCATTAATGTCCACACCCACCAGGTTCACCATGTCCACCAACGCGGTCTCCAGCTGCTTCAGCAACAGATCCTGAGAGACAAGCTGCTGGCCCGGCTTGAATTGGATGGACACGATGTCCCGGCCCAGGGACGCGTATTCCTTCAGCGGACTCTGCAGGTACTTGGCCAAGGCCACACAGTAATGCGTCAAGGGGGCGAAGCTAGGGTGGTCCTTCTTCGCACGCTCGCTGTGCTGGTAGAGTCGGGCAACCTCGTCGTTGACAATCACCACCTCCAAACGGTCGCTGACCTCGTCATCGCGGTCATCGGTGTAAAGAGCGCCGCGGAGGTCTTGCCGCTCCACGACCTCGGTCAGCAGCTTATACAGGCGACGGGTCTCCGGAGACATGCCGGACACACCGATGACGTCGGG